TACAAGCTGCTACATGTATAGAGGTTACTAGAGAGAAATTCAAGACTAATTAATTATGCAAAAATGCTGTTGTGGAAAGTATTGCTGGTTTTTTTTCATTTGCAAATTATCTTTTTAACTGAAATACATATGGTTTTGTGCACTTTCAGGTTATTTTACTTCAAAACACAATTACACTTCAAAATGTAACACATTCTTGAATTTACGTCATCTCATTTGCATATTTATATTTCAAATCTTTATCTTTGAAAAGAGAAGACCACATCTAAAAATACTGCAACCATACTACTTCACTGTTCATATAAAAGTGGTTTGGAAAATTAAAAAAAATTTCTTGATATACACTTTAACGATGAAAAGCCTGTCTGGCTGGAACGTAATGTGAAACGGAGTGCCACAACGAACAGCACGCTGTCGCTTTTGTGTAACTAAAACGTCATGTCTTTGTGAATCAATTGATGATGATGATGATGATGATGATGATGATGATGATGATGATGATAGACTTATAGAAACAATTTATCATTAGTCTTTCAAGAAGGACCGCAACGTTTCGACTGCAAACGGCAAGCCTTCGGCAGGTGATGGTGGAGACTGGATTGTGTATATCTGTTATATACCGCTCGTTCGACGAGTGGTACCGAATGACTCTCAATCGTGTGACAAACGGAAAAGTATCAATTATTACCATTCCACGATGATAATAAATTATTTCTATACTTACTTTCTAGCTAATAAAATAAAACTAGGCAACAACAACAACAACAATTTATTTCCAAAAAGTTATACATCTATTTCAAAAAAGGTTGGCGATGATTTTATAGTTGTCGCATACCAAGCCCGAAATGCACTATGAGCGACGTAAATGCAATTACGTCACTACGATATGGACTCTCGGAATTTTCCGGCAAATTTTATCTGCGCGTGTTTGGGCGCATTTTTTTCAGTGCCGACATTAATTACGTATGATCCACAATACATTTCGGGCTTGGTATGCAGCATGCAGCATACAACAAAACCTTTACTACCTCTTTTTTAAATAGTTGTATAATAATAGATATTTTTACCAATATATAACTATAACTATGAATAAAACATTTTCTTCCCTAATATAAATAACTATATCTAAATAAACTAATATTAAGGGCTCTCGTCGCCCGCCATTGTCCAAAAAAAAATTGGCGACCGTGAAAAGGTTCTCAAATTTCATAGCATTTAATCGTAGGGAAGTGGGTATTTTTGCTATAAAAAACACTGAACATATAGTATTTTAGACGTCGAGAGAAAAAGTTCCAACGGAGGGATTGAAAGGCATAAACTGACAATCTTTTAACTTGAGTTTCCTGTTTCAGTTCGTTTCGAGACCGTTTCTTAAAAAGGTTATGCCTACGTTCCCTAAATCGCATGACTTACTTCCAAAGAAAGTTGCAAAAAATTTCAGTTTTCTAAAAATTTTATTACCTCGCAGGAATCCAGCCTAATAATATACTAAATCTAAATCTATATATTAATGTTATTAGATATTATGTAAAGATATATATTACCCGCGGGGTTGGATAGTTTGTATTTGGCCTGTAAGAGATGGTTCCTCCTCTGTAACTATAATCGCCCCAAGAATTAACCACACCAGAGAACAACACGATAATCAACCCGCAAAACTCTACCAGCTCCATGACTTAGCTTGTCCTGCAAACAGGCTAAAAACCTTGGGATCGCGCGATTCCACTTTGAAAAAAACTCTAAGATGCTTTACCCCGCACAACGAAGACAAGCGTTCTGGAGCAGGAATTTGATTCCGATAACTTTTATTCACAAGATAGCTACGCCCTAATTCTATTGATAGATATTGAAATCAGGGGGGAACACCTTCTATAATGACGTCATACTGTGATTGCAAAGCCGGTCAGACTACTCCTGATGGCAGAAATTTGAAGAAACTTGAAAACTTTGGAGACTACGGCAATTGTCTTGATTTACAATACAACATAAGAAGTGACGATTTTTGTTAAACTTTCTTTCGATTTTGGAAATGTTTGCACAGATCTTAAACGTACGGAAGTGAAGTACCCCCCCTTAACAAGCCCTCAAGGTTACCATTCAACCTTGCGAAATAAAAACGAAAAGCGTCACAGAAAGACACGCTCAGACAAATCAACGAATATTAGTTCAAACACATTGTTTTTAAATTATGTTGGACAACAGAAAAATCTTATAAAGTAAATATGTATTGACAATTCAAAGAAAATGCGCCTTTTTGATTGATTTTGATAAACATTGAATAATATAAAGCCAGATTTAGTTCCAAGAAAAGTTTGTGTTGACATTTGCGTCGATTTGTCAGAAGATATGACAATGAACTTGCAAGTTAAGTAGCTTCTAGAGCACCAAAAGTTTTTTTGTCAAAACCATGTGCGAAACAGGACTAATCATAGAAAGATAAAAACAGAAACTTAAAAGCTTATGGTTTTATCAAATATTTTTGAAAAATAATTACATTAAGGCTTCCAAAACACGAATAAAATGTCTTTTTTTCTTAGAAGTCTGCCTAATGTCACAGGGGTTATCAATTATTCATTTTTGTGTATTCAGTGCTAGTTTAACATCACGTCCATCCAGATTCGATATTCCTAGAAATCTGACTTTTAATCTAAGTTCCTTACATTTTATTGGAGTTAGATAAACTTTCATCTCCACACAGTCGATATACTACAAGTGTATATATATTTTTTGGTTTTCTTTCTTTCTTTTTTTGATATCGAAAATTTTTCACGATACAAATGGCTTTAAACAAGTTAAACKTTTTAAAAATACCATTGACTTTGAAYAAAACCCATGCACATTCATTCCTTTGACATGAAAGGGCAAAAGTCTTAGTCAAAGCTTTCATGAAAACAGTTTATATATGCAAACAATATTATTAGCGGTAAGGGTGTATAGTTTGTTTTGGCCCGTGTCTCGTTGTCTCAGTCCGAATCGAACTGAAAACAATAAAGGATCTTAATAATGGTTTTCTGAATGAAGGAAGCTGCAAGAAATAAAACCGTTAAATTATCAACGAGTATCGTTTACATCGTTGCGTCAAACTTGGCCATGTTTGTTTTGCTGGTTCTTGTCAGTGTTGCTTTTCGTGTAAGGTGTTTATTCGTTTGTTTTTGCTTCATAATAAAGACGATTTTATAGTTCTATCAAAATAGCATAAAATCAGTGTTCGCCAGTTTTTGACAAGAATAAAGAAAGTTGAATTCCCAGCAAAGAAAGGACATCAAATGAACTCAGGATGTTTATCTATCCATCAGTACATCACCACACTTGACTCGAAGGCTTCTTTTTTTTTTTCCCGATAAACTCAATGCTTCGCTTGTCTTTCCTAAATTAGCAATCAATTTACTTATTGCACAGTTTAACTTCAATATCTTGCCATAATTATTACCGCATTAATACGGAACGCTTGCACTGCTTTGTATTCGTAGATAATATACAAAATTAAAGCTGGGAATGTTTGGAGCAAATCCACCTATCTACGAACAAATTCAAGCACATCCAGACTTCCTGGTTACTGTAATTTAAGAGCACATCAAAGTCTTCCACGCTCAGTTTGTATGTATATATAATGGCTAATATTACAAGAAAATATTGACAGTACCACGCTGATCAAATGGCTTTTACTTTATTTCGATAATGACTGGATGAAAAATGTTTTAGCTGTATTTGATTGGTTCACTACGGAAGCCATTTCGAAGTCACAACACTATAGTCATACCATATGTTTCACTCACACCGTCACCGAATTGTTTTCTAGCTGTAAAAAATGCACTAGTTCTTTGCTAGGTTAAAAAATCTTATGACCACAATAGTAAAAGGCTGTGTGTCTGAACCCGTTTGACATTTTCAAAATCAAACAATGTAGCGAGAACTGACATTGTAAAATCTTGGCACTCAARTCGACTTCCGGGTCCAAAATTGGGAAGTTTCTTAAAATAACTTTCTTTAACTTTATGCCTGGGGTGCTTACCATTTACACCAATCCATCTGGTTGGAAATTCATTCCCTAGTGGTAAGAAAAGAGCGGGAAAATTTGACTTTCGAAAAATGGTAAACTTGTCTACCGAAAGAACAGAAAAGAGCGGGAAAAGTCAATCTTAAGACCGAATTTTCCGGAATTTTCCGATCGGAATGATACAAACTGATTTGTTTTCAACCAGAATTCCCGGTTTTTCTGGGTAAATGGTAAGCACTCTGTTTTCAGTGATTTTCATTCTAGTTTGGACCCGGAAGTACGTCACAACTTTCTCCCTCGGGTCGTCCCTCGGGTCTTCCCTTTGGAAACGTTTGAATAATGAACTCTTATTATTCAGTCTAGCAAATGATTAATTAAGTATTAAGTCTTTGAAAACAAATATCAATAATCATTCGCTTCCCTAGAAATAAAAGGAGATAAAAATGGCCATGTTTTATGATACCAATGAAAAACTACTGTCTGAAAACTTCCTTAAACTATTAAGGCTGACTTTCTTGAGTTTTAAGAGTGGATTCTACTTCAACAGAATATTGTTATTACTGACTGACTAACGTTAATAAACTAGTAATAAACGTATTATACTTACACTCTCTCTGGCCACAACAGGACGCTAGCCAGAATTTTTATTTCGAAGAATAAAGTTAATGTCTTTCAAGAATATTTGCCAGCAACTTCGACGACATTCATCTTGAAACTTCAACTCTTTCGTTGGACAATTTTCATCGACAATTTAGTGCAAAAAACCCTCAAAACCCCTTTATTTCCTTCGCCTTTCGAGTTATTCTCCATTGGTAGAGAGTAAGAACCTGATAGCATGGTAAAGTCTGTTGTTTCTAACGATATTTTTGCATCATGCAGAAAGCCTTCACATTTTTAAAACATCAAATGAAGTTTATTACCATATATGGACTTGTGATGTAGGCAAATATTACGCATGCGTAAAGGTATCTATGAACTTTTATGTTTGCAAGGGTGTGACTTTTTTTCTGATTAGGCCAAGGGAATAAAAGAAAATTTAACAAAACACTTTAGATAAACTACCTTCAAAATATACATAACTACATGTTCATGTTATCTAGTTTCGGCTTTCATCTTTTTTCCATCGTTTTCGCCGTTTTCCTGTTCATTTGGGCAGCTTGCTGGCTCGACTTTTTTTATCACGCCGGCAATTTCGGTAAAGAATTATCAAGAGGGGTAAAGTGATGACAGAGAATACACCAGCAGTGACAAGGACGGCTATCAGGATGGTGTTGACGTGGAAGGAAGCTGTCAAAGATAGAATTAAAAAATTGAAATGGAATTATGTTACCAGGCCTTAGATTAAAAAGCCCTCCTATAAAGCCAAGCTATTTTAGCTATAAATCATGGGAGGCCCGATTTACCTATTTTGTTAAGTCATTTTAAGTCTTTACCCCAGTCATCCTAAATTTGTGAATATACCCCTAATACACCGACATCACCCTCTCTCTTGTACTACCGGATAGACCTTGGAGGACCTGTGCGGGAATGGTCACTTTTATGGAAGGCCGAATGTTGCAAAATTCAAGAACCTTAATTTGATCACATTCAAGGATCAAGTTCACATTCAAGAACAAAATTCACTTTCAACATTTGTAA